TCGCTCGGAGGTTCGGAGAGCCGTGAGGCGCTGCAAGGATGGGTGGTGGTCGCGGGTTGCTGAGGAGATGGAGTCTACCTCAGTGGCCCGCGATCACAAATCTCTATTTAACTCCATCAAAAAAGTAACCTGCAGCGCCACACCTATTACCATCATTAGGGGAAAAAACGGTGATCCAATCTCCAAGCCCCAGGAACAGGTTTGCAGATTTGCTGAGCATTTCTGTGAGGTCATGGGGGAGGGGAAATCCCTCAGCCAGGAAAACATCGTTGTACAAAGTGGGGATGACCCTGCTGAGGCTGCGGTGCCTCAAATATTGGAAGAAGTCACCCCCTGTGAGTGGCTGGCTGAGGTGCCATTTGTTGAGGGAGTACTGAAGGCGATCCGAAGTCTGAGACCAGGAAAGGCACCGGGCAGAGATGATCTCCCAAGCGAAATGCTGAGGGAGGGTGGCGTTTGTGCACAGACTGCCCTATATGACATCATAACAACAGTCTGGACCACTGGACGGGTTCCGCAGGATTGGAAGGATGCCCTGGTGGTCCGCCTCTTTAAGAAGGGGGACCGCACAGACTGTAACAACTACAGGAGCATCTCACTCCTCAGTGTGCCGGGAAAGGTCCTGGCAAGGATTATTCAACATCGCCTTGCCAGGCACGCTGAGGAGAGGCTTGCGGAGCCCTAATGCGGTTTCAGGAAAGGACGGTCCTGCACAGATGCCATATTTTCTGTCCGTCTACCACAACAGAGGTGTAGAGAATTCCAGCAAGACCTACATCTCTGCTTTATTGACCTGGTCAAGGCCTATGATACCATCAGTAGGCCTGGGCTCTGGGTTGTTCTTCGTGCTTTTGGAGTCCCTGACCCACTGCTCACGATCATTAAGGACCTTCATGATGGTGAGCGGGCCCGGGTAAAACTACGTGGCCGGGAGTCAGAACCATTCCCTGTACACCTTGGGGTGCAACAGGGATATCCTCTGGTTCCCACATTACTTAACATCTATTTTGACCACGTAGTTCGTGAAGCCTTCAATAGCTGTACCGGGGGAATCTCCATTTGGTACAGATATAATGGGAGGCTGATCGATGCCCGGGTGCGGTCAAGGGATGGCTCCCTATTGCTCAACCACATTATGTATGTCGATGATTTGGTAATAGCTGCTCATTCAGAGGAGGAGTTGGAGACACTGCTGCTGAGACTGGAGCATGCTACTAGGAGATGGAGCCTTAACACCAGCCCCATCAAAACTAAGCACCTGCCTGGGTATTTTGTACCGTCGGACACTCCACCTCCACAACTCCCAATCAGTGATGGGGCAGTTGTCGAGAGAGTGGAGAATTTCCCATACCTGGGCAGTGTGCTTATGACCGGCTCCAGTTTAACAGCAGAGGTCTCACTCCGAATCAGTCGAGCGGCAATATCTTTTCATCAGTTGCGTAACGCTGTGTGGAAGCTACCTGGTCTGTCGCTCCGCACTAAGCTTCAGGTCTTATCGGCCACGGTCATTCCCTCCCTTCTCTACGCTTGCGAAACGTGGACCCCCCTAATGGAACATCTTCGCCGGTTAGAAACATTTAGGCTAGCCTGCCTACGATCCATCCTGCGTTTAACCAGGTTGGATTGTGTGAGGAGCTCTAAAATCCTTGAAAGATCTGGGCAAGGTCCCATCGGTGAGCTCCTCCGGCAGGCAAGGCTGCGTTGGCTGGGTCATGTAGCCCGCATGCCCAGCCACCGCATGCCGAAAATGCTTTTGTTCGGCCGGATCGAGGGGGCTAAACGGGTGCGGCACGGGCTAGAGAATAGATGGAGTGATATGGTACAGGAGGACGTGGAGCTGAGTGGACTTGCCGATGACTAGTACCAGCGGTGTCGAGATCGGCCTCTGTGGAGGAGGCTCGTGAAGGACGCTACTGGGCAGTTGGAGGCAGTCGCCCTCCAACAACAACGGAGGGTGGAGGAGCGACGCTCACAACAATGAGCGGAGTGCCGGGTGGCTAATGCACAGCAGGTTGGCACAGTAGAGGGCACAGGTGGTGCATCAGCCAGCCATCTCAGTCATCTTAGTCAGTCGACCCGTGGCACTTGGGTCTGCCCCGTGACTTGCAGCGGGCGTTCGACACTTCACGTGGCCTCAAGGTGCATATGGCCTTGCACAAGTGTCCTGGTCACGTCACCGCCACTTAGTGGCGAATGGCGGTTGTTGTTGTTTGGTAATTTGTGAGGGAGTGCTAGTGTAACGGTTAGCGTGGTGCGCTACGATCCCGGCAACCCGAGTTCGATTCCCACTCATGGCCAACACCGGTGACGATTATCTAAATCGGTCATGGACCTCCCCAAAGTTGACTCAGCCTCAAATGAGTACCTGGTGCGGTGTTTAAAAACATTGGCACTGGGGGTGTGGTGCTGGCCACCCCCCACCCCCTTGTGTGCCGTGTCGGCCTTCATAGGTGCTCGCTAACAGCACTTGTCCCAACAGTCTGTTAAAGCTACACAAGGGCGGGATCTTTGTATTACGTATTATGGGGGTCTTTGTCTTTCTGCTCGTTTGTCCTTCCCCGTGAGCCCCAATCATTGCATTGTGTTTTTTATGTTTTTAATTGTTGTAAGAACATGAGCCCGGTACAACATACCGATGGTATTCTGGCAGGGGGGGCGGGGTGGGGGGGGGACAGAAAACTGCGGGGGTCGGAGGAGGGGCTATCGGAGTTTTAAAGCCATGTTTAGGTTGGGGGTGGAGGGTCGATGCGCCCAACCTGGTGGGGATCTTCCGTCGGTGTGGGGGGGGGGGGAGTGAGATCTTATAAGGGTGGCTAGGAAGATGTCAGTTTAACACGTAGGCTTCCGCGCCCAATATCATCCATAATGCAGGTTGTTTGGGTTTGATCACGTAAATATGTGTTGTTAAACCCGCCACCACCCGACACAGTAACGCATTGGCATGTTCTGTTTACGTGATAAACCTTTACTAATTGCCTGGGTCGGGTGGTGGCTCATTTAACGACACATTTACATATTTACGCGATCTAACCCAAAAAAAAAACCTGTATTTTGGAGATAGATGTTAACTACCTTGTCTGGTATACAGGAGGACGTCGATTAAATCCCAACCCTGATGATGCCTGCTGCTGTATATTTGGAGATTGCGTCTCTCTCGCTCTCTCTGTGATTGTGTGGATTTTTTCTCTGGGTCCTCTGGTTTTTCCCTCGACATTTAGAATCAACGGCACACATCTAGAGTATTTGGCGACTGCTATAAATGTCCATATGATGATGGTAAGCCACTTTATTGAGCTATCATTTGTGATGGTCAGGTCACATCTGTGAAGGAGCTAAACAGCTCAGTGGGCCTTACCTGGTAAAATACAAAATTGCTTATATCGGGGGGGGGGGGGGGGGGGGGGGGGTGGGAGGCGGGAAGGAAGAGGGGGGCGGGGAAGAGTTAACCAACATTCTAAGGGGAGTGCGTGTATAGGGGGTAAATGATACAACATACATGCAAGCATTATGGGTGGTGGGTGACAACCTCTCCCCTCGTGAGATCCCAATTATTCATACATCCTGTCCCCCTCTCTTGGGACCCTTAGGTCACAGTGTAATCCTTGCGGTATAGCCTGTAATATTCAGCCAGGTTTTTATCGACAAGGTAACCCACAGACTTTCTGCCATCGTTAAGGGAGGACACAGGCAGCAGAAGGACATCAGCACATCAAGAGATGACAGGATACGTGGACACTTTCGGTATCCCATGGAAGACGGATCTGTAGCTGCGTGCATTTCCTCTGTTGCGATCATCCCGGACGAGCCCCCAGAATGTTACACGCTGGTTGGTTGACTGGTCCTATGTGCAGGAGGGAGTGATCGTCCCCTTTCGTAAAACCCTCGAGGCCAAATGGCATTTAATATTCGTGAAGACTTGAGCCAACTTGAAGGTGGAATGCAAAGGCACGCAAACTCATCGCTCCGATTAGCACGGATGGCTATGTACGGCGCGAAAGAAGTTCAGCATGCACACACTACACTATACACTACGATACACACTACACTACGATACACTATACTATTGGAGGATCGCTCCTCTGAACAAAATAGTTCCGCTGTTCAGTTTGCAATTGCGAGTTCGCGTTTTAAGTCGATGTATATTTTTAAAATATTTTATGGAAGCTGATTCGTAAGTGTGGGTGTCCGTAAGTCGAGGACTGCCTGTACACTTTGATAAATTACACTACTATACACTACACTATGATACACTAGATTACTATACACTATACAACTATACTAAATTTGAAATAAATTTCTTTAGAACTGCTTGTTGTTTAGTTTCTTGTCCTTCCCCTGCACCTCTGATTAGCATGGTTGGCTCTGTACGGTGCAAAATAATTTCAACATACATACAGACACACAAGTTAAGCCAACAATCAAATGGTTTCTGTACTTTTCTGCCACTATACGTTATAAGTTGCACAGTCGATTCTGGATGAGTTTTTAATTTTCCATTTGTGCATCATCAGCTATCCATATCTTTCTACTGCTGCTGCTGCCGTGGTTTGTGCAGTGGCCGATGCGATTTAGGGGGTGGGGACCATGAGCAGCTTCGTGGAAGATCAAACCCCAGGGGATCATCTGCGTCGTCTTTCACAATGAGGCCGTGTTTGTTTGCGAGTTTTCTTAAACTCCATTCAGCTCTCCGAGCTTCGTCGGAGGGGCAGGGCGGTTGTCAAAGGTCAAGCGCGCGGGTTCCAAAAGGGGGGCTCGAGTTAATCGTGTCTCCCCCAATCCCGAACCCCAGTTTCAGACATGGATGGCAGCTACGATGACAACGACTACGGGGCGCACCCCGAGAGCGTGATGAACTCCCACGGCGGGCGACCCGTGCCTCACGGGTGGGACAAGGAGGAGGAGGAGGAAGAGGAAGAGGATGATGACGACGACGACGACGATGACGACGAAGACGAAGATGAAGACGACGAAGACGGCCTGGAAGATGACGATGATGATGAGGAAGAAGAGGAAGAGGAGGAGGAGGAGGAGGAAGAAGAGGAGAGCAGCAGTGAGGGTGAGTGTATCGGTCCCCCCACTGCCCCTCTCCCTCCCGGCACGTGCGAGGCAATTCGGCTCGGCGACATTCTGGCGAAGCCGTCGACCGAAATTGTGGTGCTTGCGGTCCTCGCTTGGGGGACACGAATACTCGTTGGTTTTTGTCGCCACCCTTGTAACCGTCCCTGCCACTTAACCGCGTACGTGTAAAGGGGTTAGTCGTAGCGTGACCGCGTCTGTTGTAGTCTTGAGTGGACACCCCCCCCCCCGTCCAGAGACGGTTCCGTCAATCAGTGGTCGGTAACCGTGATGACAAGAGGAGCCATTTTATACAGTAGAACTCTCGATTATCCGCGCTAATGATGGGGAGGACGGCCACGAATAATGCAAAATCGCAGATCCAAAAAATATAACCATTTTCCGTGGACCTCTATGCCAAAAACCACTAACGCAGGTATAAATTACGTTTAAGTTAAGAAATGTTTTATTGTTAATGGACAAAATAAATGTTTGTAGTAAAGAGTTGACCGATCGACGATGCGCGTGCTCGGTGATAGCTTCCCTGGCTCCCGCCCAGCAGAAGACTCAGCCCACTAAGTGGATGACAGCAGCAGAGCCACAGCCAATCAACATCAATCAAACGCCGTCACCCACCGTCATACAGCTATGGCAACTACTGTGCTATAGAGGCGATCACGCGGATTTCAGATTAACCGGAGCGACGTATTTGTTCGGTTTAAGCACCGCATAACTCGCAATAAATTTTTCCAAGAAGAATATTAAATTTATTTTATAGAGCGTCATTCATGCAATTGCATCCCACACAACGCTGCACATCAATGAGCCGGTCCCTTATGCAGATGATACAAAAACAGAACCCCCACTGCTTGGCAAAGAGAACAAAAATGTATGTAACAAAAACGATGATCGCAGAGAAATAAAATTGAATAAATCTGTTTGGTCTCCATACCCCAGACCATAATCCCAACATTTTGGGGTGGTGGAGCGGCCAAAACGTTATAAGCCAATTGAACCGTAACATGAATGCCCATTTTTCAGCATATGCCTTCAATTCAGATTTGAATAACTTAATTGATTAGATTTGTCGGATGTGTAGCGGGAGAGGGCTCCAGACTGGTGGGGGGCTGCAACATGTGAACGCTCGCCCGCCAATCTATTCGCGTATAATCTTTGGGCTGGACCGCAAACCTCGAGTGAAGCAGAGCAGAGTACACGAGGTGGGGAATAAACTGAAATGAGAGGGGAAAGATAGGCAGGTGGCTTGAAAGTGACTCTAGACTGAATGGGTAGCCGGTGGAGGGATCGTAAGATGGGCGTAATGTGATGATGCTTACGGGTATGAGTCAGTACCCCTGCAGCTGCATTTTGCACATATTCTACACGGTGAGATGAGAGACAAGGGAAGACCATATAACAGAGAATTGCAATCCTGGAGGTAAAAAATGTATGAACTATTGTTTTTGCAGCCGTATTGGAGAGGCAGTTACGGGTACGAGAAATGTTACGCAGATGGAAATAAGCAGTCTTGCACATCAGGGAAATGTGAGAAGAAAAGGAGAGGTTATAGTCATGAAGGAAGCCAAGATTCCGTGCCTGTTGACTGATATGAAGGTCAGAGTCAAGCAGACATATAGTGGATTGACGATGCCTGGAGGCAAGTGATTTTTTTTCCCAACTAAGAGAACTTCAGTTTTAGCGTAAATCATTTGAAGAAAATTTGCCGCGATCCGGTCAGAAACTGCAGTTTCGACAGGAAGGCAGAGTGGAAGTTGGGTTTATATCAAATTGATTGAAACTGATCTAAATCTGTGTATCGTCTGCACAGAAACTTGAGATGAGTTTGCCTAAAGGAAGAAGGTGGAGTGAATAGACGAGACCTAGAATAGACCCTTGTGGAACACCACAAAGCAGAGGGTTTTTGAGAGGAAGAGATGCCGTTTATCACGACATGATACATCCGATCAAGAGAGTTAAGAAGAAAACCAGGTTAGGAAGGCGGCATCAGAGCAGCCGACGTGGCTGTGGAGGCGGTCGAGAAGAATAGAATGATTGATAGTGTCAAATGCAGAAGATACATCCAGGAGAACCAGGTGAGAAAATTCCAGGGTCGGTGGATAAGAGAAGATCGTTAGAAACAAGAAGTAAAGCAGTTTCAGTTGAGTGATCTTTCCAAAAACCTGATTAAATCTGATCATAGAAGTTATGCTGAAGAAGATGATTATTTCCATGATTGGTTTAACATGTAGGCTTTCACGACCGTACTCTGATTGTAAATGTTGTGGATTTGCTTGACTGTACTAGTAACGAATTGAGGGTTTAACAACACATTTACGCACTCTAACCCAAAAAAAGAAGATTGAGCCGAAGAAATACTTTTGATAGGAGCAAGATTGTTAACTACTTCTGATATTGTTTGATTATGGTGGTTTACAGAAGGTACATCAGGAGTAAGGAAAATTGGATCTTTATCAAGAATGTGCAAAGAGTAGAGCAGGTGAGATATTTTTGTAGGACCGATAAGAAAAGGTGGTGATATCAGGAGGAGGATTTGGAAGGCAGACAGAGAAATCAATGTGGTAGTGGTCACTGTAAATCACCGGGGAGATTGAGGAAACTGTCATTTCAATGTTGTTCGATATTACCAGATCTACGAAATTGCCTTTTGAATGAGTAGGAGAATAAATAGATTGAGTTAGTCCAAGGGTACCAAGAATGGACAGAAATGCTGATAAAGAAGGATCTTTAGGGTTGTCTATATGGAAATTGAAATCGCCAGCAATTATTACCAGAGAGGTGGACATAGTGAGCCCTGATGCGTAATCTGTGAAATCCGATATGAAGTCACAATGAGCCTTAGGTGGGTGTTAGACTATACACACGGCTTCAGATGAGGGAATGATGATAATTGAAGGGCAGGTTGCTCAAAGGTTGGAGCAGCTGGAACGTTTCATATTCACGAATTTGAAATATGATTTGGCAATCGCAACAGCAGTAGCACCACCCCGCCCTGCAGGGCCACGCACATTCAAAGAAGTGGTAACCTTGGAGGAACCGATTCAAGAAAATGGGGAAATATCTGATGGCGAATGCCACGTTTCAGTGAGCCAGAGAATGTCCGTGGTCCCCTTCTACAGGAAAATCATTAATGATCAACGTTTTTTAAAATTCTTAATGGACCGAATGTTTAATAAGGATAACGTAATAGCAGGTCAGTTTAACACGTAGGCTTTCGACACCAATATTATTCTTCATAAAGGTTTTTGGGTTGGATCGCTGTAAGTATGATTGTGTTGTAACCCTCCACCGCCCGACAGCCAGTTTATTTAAGACCGGAAGTAGGTGGGTTGCTTCACTATTCTGGCAAATCGCCCGATGATGCTGGATGTAATTGCCAGCGAAATGTCGTACTACTCAAATTGTAAATGTTTTGTATTTACTCTCTTAACACTCCGGCTGAAGTAGTAACTAATTATATTCTTGGTTCTTTCGGTAAGTCACGTAGAAGGGAAACAATAAAATAACACAAATATAAAACAATGAAATTAGCACGACGTTTCGACTGCAACACAAGCAATCATATCAGGTGTGAAAACCACAGCAAGAAAATTTGAAAAAAGTGTTGGTTTGTTATCGTTAGCACCACGGAGAGCGATTTGGCAGTTATTCAGATGGACGAGTCCATCTATGTTCGGAAAAGAGGAGGGGGGAGACGAAAATCAATGTATGCTGTCTGAAAGCCACCGTAAGCGTGAACAATCAATTAAAACCCGAAATAGTTTATAAAATTCTTTCAGTGATTGATAAGCCAGAATCCATCTTCTCGGTTGAAATTGTCTCTGTGTTTGTATATGTGGATAGCCTCATGAACGAATCTCTCATGGTAGCTAACCAAGAATATGAATCCCTGCAGTCACGAAAGCTTTCAATAAAAATAGTAACTAATTGTCGCGTTGTTTAGGTGACAAACCTTACTGGCTGTCAGGTGGTGGAGGGTTACGACAGAATTATACTTACAGCGATCTAACCCAAAAACCTTGATTATGAGGATTAGCAGATGTGGACAGGATTAAATTGAAATTTTGTCTGGAGGAGACCTTTGATTCCTGCGCATTTGTGGATGAGAGTACCTCTCTAATGAGGTGGGTATATAAGAGTTTAAACCTCGACAGCGGTCAGAATTGATTGTCGGGTTTATTGCTATGTTGAGCCGGTTCACTCGATGGTTTAATTCTTTGACCCCGACCCGACCCCAAGGCTGTTGGTATGGCCGCCGTCTTAATATTCCCAATATTTGACAAGTGGGAGTGGAAGTCAGAAACTCACGGGAGTATAACTCATTGCCGCAGTTCATTCAACTCGGCCGTGGAGGGGATGACGACCTGGGACCGGGGTGCACCGTGCCGAAGCCGCAGCAGCAGCGGCCGCGGCCGGAAGCCAGGCAGCAATATCGGGTGTAGGTGGCAGGAAATATTGATTCTAGATTTAAAGCTTTCGTGACTGCAAGGATCCCATGCTCTTTGGTTCTATTCGGTAAAGTCACGTAGGTAAAAAATAAAACAACAAAAAATCACGACGTTTCGGCCACAACACAAGCGGCCTTCATCAGGTGAAGGGATCAGGCTGTCCCGAGGACAGCGCTGGAGTGGAACACAGGCACGCTCAGACCGCGACCTTTAAGCTGTGTGCGAGGAAACAAGGTGCCTTGACATAAAAATTAGCATTTGCTTGCCCGACTTAGCATAGAAGTGGTGTACATGCAAGTGCACATGCCGGTTGGCACGGGGGGGGGGGGAGTTTCCCTATTGATGGTGTGAAAAGGGAATTTAAGAGCTGCGAAAGTTTGGGGTACCACTACTTGACAAATATACTGTACCATTGAAAATTAGTTTAATGTTTGGTTCGATTTAGAACATCTTTCCAATGGTTGCTTAATGAATTCTTCTGCCGTAGCTGATCATTGTTACAACGCTGTGGGTGATCACGATATAATTTTCTCCGATACCAAGGTTCTTTGCAAACCCACGGGTTTTTATCAGAGATTTGTTCACGAGGCAATTCAGATCTACAAGCACAGACACAATTTCAACCTAGAAGATGGTTTCAAATTAAGCAACTATTGGAAAGATGTTCTAAATCGAACCAAACATTAAACTAATTTTCAATGGTACAGTATATTTGTCAAGTAGTGGTACCCCAAACTTTCGCAGCTCTTAAATTCCCTTTTCACACCATCAATAGGGAAACTCCCCCTCCTCCCCCCCCCGCGCCAACCGGCATATGCACTTCCATGTACACCACTTCTATGCTAAGTCGGGCAATCAAATGCTAATTTTTTATGCTAATTCCTTTGTCAAGGCACCTTGTTTCCTCGCACACAGCTTAAAGGTCGCGGTCTGAGCGTGGCTGTGTTCCACTCCAGCGCTGTCCTCGGGACAGCCTGGTCCCTTCACCTGATGAAGGCCGCTTGTGTTGTGGCCAAAATGTCGTGATTTTTTGTTGTTTTATTTTTTACCTACGTCACTTTACCGAATAGAACCAAAGAGTAGGAAATATTGAGTCGCGTCAACGGCAGCATGAACGCATCATTTGGAATTAAGGGAAAGTCCACGAGTTAATTTACGTCAAAATCTCACGGGTGCGGTTCATCCGCAAATCGGATAAAGTGCACGCGGATAATTGAGAGTCTACTGTTCCATCAGCCGTGATGCACTTGTGAATACGAGACGGTGGCGCTCCTAAATAAACAATGGTCACGAAGCAGTCGCTTGAAGAGCCCACCGCATGCTGCTCCAGAGCCCGCAGGTTGCCGACCCCTGGCCTGGAGACACCACGACATGCTGACTCGTTACCGTACCGTCTAAGCATAGATACTAAATTGTTGCCGTTCGAGTGGTTTGTCCACGACGAATGGCAAGCTTGAGAAAATCTTGCCACCCGCGTTGCCGAGGGGTGAAGTGTAGACCTTGGCTGCTAAACTGCGATCGTCGGTAAGAGTGTGTAGCTTTTGAGTGGCCGAGACCTACAGCGTGGATAACTGCCATCGGTTGTGCGCGCGTGTTTGTGTGTGTGTGCGGCGGTGGTGATGTTGCGAGCAGATGATGAAAGTGATGAGGCGCCACCCACGCCCAGGGCCTACGCGCAGGCATTCGCCGTCGACACGACCCCCAAACGGCAGCAGCCGCAGATACAGCAGCCTCCGAGGCAGCAGCCGGTCCGCCAGCAGCCGGTCCGCCAGCAGCCGGTCCGCCAGCAGCCGGTCCGCCAGCAGCCGGTTCGCCAGCAGCCGCTGCGCCAGCAGCCGCTGCGGAAACAGCGGCAACAACAACAACAGCAGCAGCAGCAACAGCAGCAGCAGCAACAGCAGCAGCAGCAGCAGCAACAGCAGCAGCAGCAACAGCAGCAACAGCAGCAACAGCAGCAGCAGGGGGGGGGCGCCCACTCGCGAGAAGCCGCACATGTGCGGCGACTGCGGCAAGGGCTTCGCTCACGTGTCCAGCCTCAAGATCCACCGGCGCACGCACACGGGGGAGCGCCCCTACGGCTGCAAGGAGTGCACCAAGGCCTTCTCCACCGTGTCGAGCCTCAAGATCCACTTCCGCACGCACACGGGCGAGCGTCCGTACGTGTGCGACGAGTGCGGCAAGGCCTTCTCGCAGGCGAACACGCTGAAGAACCACAAGCGCACGCACACGGGCGAGAAGCCGTTCGTCTGCACCGACTGCAGCAAGTGCTTCACCAACATGTCGGGCCTGAAGACCCACCGGCGCACGCACACGGGCGAGAAGCCCTTCGCCTGCGTCGACTGCGGCAAGTGCTTCTCGCAGGCCAACGGCCTCAAGGACCACCGGCGCACGCACACGGGCGAGCGGCCCTTCGCGTGCCTCGAGTGCGGCAAGGCCTTCTCCAACGTGTCGGCGCAGAAGATGCACATGCGCACGCACACGGGCGAGCGCCCGTATGCGTGCGAGGAGTGCGGCAAGCGCTTCACGCAGCTCTCCAGCCTCAAGGTGCACCTGAACCTGCACGGGGGCGAGCGGCCGCTCGCCTGCGAGGAGTGCGAGCGCGGCCCCCTGCGGCACGTGTGCGAGCAGTGCGGCTGCGCGTTTGCGCGCGCCCACGACCTGCGCGGGCACAAGAAGACGCACACGGGCGAGAGGCCGCACGCGTGCGGGCAGTGCGGCCGCGGCTTCTCGCGCCTCTCCAGCTACGAGAAGCACCTGAGCGCGCACGCCACCGAGAAGCCGCACGCGTGCGGCGTCTGCGGCCGCGCCTTCGCCCGCAAGATGAACCTCAAGGCCCACCAGCAGCTGCACACGGGCGAGCGGCCGCACCCGTGCAACGAGTGCGGCAAGCCGTTCGCGGCACGCCTGCGGCGCCAAGCGGCGCCAGGCGGCGGGCCGCGGAGGCGACGAGAGGCCGTTCGCGTGCGGGGCGTGCGGCAAGAGCTTCTCGACGCCGCTCTACCTGAAGCTGCACGAGCGCACGCACGCCGGCGGCGGCGCCGGCGATCGGCCGCACCGCTGCGAGGAGTGCGGCAAGGGCTTCGCGTGCCTCTCCAACCTGGAGAAGCACGCGTACGCGCACGCCGGCGAGCGCCACCCGCACGCCTGCGGCGACTGCGGCCGCGGCTTCGCGTGCCTCTCGGAGCTGCGCAAGCACACGGCGGCGCACGCCGACGGCGGCTGGCCGCACGCGTGCAACGCCTGCGGCGAGGGCTTCTCCTGCCTCTCGAACCTCAAGAAGCACCGGCTGGCGCGCTTGTGCGGCGTCGGCGATCGCCAGACGGCGCCGCCGCCGCCGCCGCCGCCGGCGGTGGCGCCGGCGGCGCCGCCGCCGCACGCATGCGAGGAGTGCGGGGAGACGTTCTCGCACCTGTCGCACCTCAAAAAGCACGCGGGGATGCACGGCGGCGCCGAGAAGCCGCACGCCTGCGGCAGCTGCGGCAAGAGGTTCTCGCAGATCTACCACCTCAAGAGGCACCAGATGAAGCACTGGAGGGAGGCCGGCTACGTGGGCGGCCCGTGAGGCGCCGCGGCGGCCGTCCGCCACCGCCCCCCCCCCCCCCCGCCCCTCTCTCTCGGTTCGCTTTGGGCGGCCGCTCCTTGGAGGAGTTTGCGACGGACGGTGGGGAGGAGCGGCGAAGCGATTCGAGGAAAACTCGCGCCGGTGGGGGTGGGGGGGGGGTGGGAATGGAGAGAGCCGGCGACCGCGTCCCCGGGATCTTGCGGTTCGAATCTCGGACTTCCTCGTAAACCCCAGGCGGAAGCGCGATTTTGAGCGCACGTGCGGGGGTCAACGGCTCGCGGTTTGTCAAGAGCGTCCGAGTGCGACTTCGCCTGAAGACGGTTGTACAAAGTAAGGGAATGGGGGGGGGGGGTGGGGGGGAGAGGGGGTGGGATTACGCTCTTCAAGGGCGCCAGCGGCAGGGAACATTTCGGGAGAAAAACGACGTTAGAGTAAGGGGGGGGGCGTGCGATTGAGGACATGTCATGCAGAAGATCCGGTCAAGCCCTGGGTGGGTGACGAATTGGCTAAGTGGGTCGGTGCCAGCAGCTTGGTACGTGCGGCGAGTTTCTTGTCCCGATCGATGCAACGACGACGACGACGACAACAACACCCGCCCAGAGCAAAATTGTTAATTCTCCACTTAACTCGGCCACGGCCAGCTTGCGCTGAGGGGCTTTGTTGGCAGAAATTGGCAGGGTGAGCCGCTCGCTCGACCGTGCGCCGGGACCCTTCCGAGGCACGTTAGCCCGGGGGCCCCGTGGCTTTCAAGTCGCCGAGGGTCAATTCCAAGACGATGTTTCTACCGGTATCGCCGTAGTTCGATTTTCCGTCGGCGAATCATCACGGAAAAATGGGGGCCCCCTCAATTTGGTGAAGGCCGAGCCAGTGGCCGAATTTCAGTTCGCCCGACATCGGTTCGAAGGCGATGCGACTAAATCTATTGCGGGGGTGAAAAACCAGCTTCAGGGTGTCCGGAAGATGGGATCAACGCAAAAAGCGAGTTCACGAACCCCACCCTTGTGGACCATTTGAGTGTTATCTCCGTGTGTATCGCAGTGTTTCCGTGGCAACAACTCTCAACTAAATACAAAAATAATAATGGACTGGCGAAAAAATTCAAGCGCAGGATCCCACCCCCATCCATCCCGTTGGAGTCTTTAGACATAGTTATTATTATTACTACTACACGACTCTTAGACCTAGTTATTATTATACAATGGCATTGACACGTCTGGTTGGCGCGGCGACGAGGCTACAGGAAAGCCACGCCCCTGTGGAATCATCGTCCCCACCGATACGGCGTCGTGCTTTACCGGCGGCGCGCAAGATCGCCGGATGACGACGATTGGGCTTGAAGAAAAAAAAATCGACAAATTTAATCTGAAGAGACACGTAGAGTTCCAAACCCCGTCGGCTGCCTTGCATCTCCCCTTGTCCGTCTACTGTGCTCGGTAACGCTGGTGGGTCGTTGTCCTCAAGTGACCTCGACTCGAGCGGAACCCAGACTTCCAAGCAACATCGGAGAGGGCCTGAACGGCTGCCGTAGGCGACGACTTCGCGATGTGGAGACTATAAGCAGAATCGGATTTATCCCCCGTGTCCAGCTCGGGGCACGGGGGTCAGAACGTTACAACATGAAACGATGCAAAAAAAGAGACGCGGTGAGAGTGCAAGGCATAGAAAAGGAAAACAAATTGCGTTAAAAAAATAATATACAAATAAAACTACGCTATTTTCATCTCACCAGTTGAAGGCCCAATGAGCTATATTGGCCTCATTTTCAGAAGCGACCTGGCCACCACAAGTGATCGCTCAACAAATTGGCTTATTGTCATCGTGTGGAAATTTATAGCAGTAGCCAAAAAATTACCAAGGGCTTTCCGTGGCTTCCCTCAACACCGCGCTCGGGAGCCAAACGTGAGCCCGTTACCTCTTTAAATGGGTCGGCGGTTAGCAGTGGGGACCACGCCAAGACAGCAGCAGCAGCAGGGTTCTTTACCAGGCAGCCCATAAGCCGGATGTGGTCTGAAAAATCTCTTTGTCAGTGGCCCCACTGAGAGAATGGGGCTTATCAAGGCATGCAGAGATACAATTACAATGGAGGTTTTTTTGGGGGGGGGGGTTAGTTTGCGGCAAGGGTTTGTCACGTCAACAGAACGTGCCCGATTAGTTACTAGTTCAGCACTGATCGCTTGTGTGTTCGAGAGGAGACCCACAGCACAGCATTTACAATTCGAGTAGCCGTGACGTTTCGCCCGTAATTACAACAACAACCAGCCTCATCAGGCGACAGCCAGAATTGTGGACAAAACCTCCTTCCCTTTCGGTCTTCAAAGAGAAATGCGATCAATGATGACGAGCGAGAGATAAGCGAGGGGGGAGGGCGCTGCCGACGACCGAGAGATGAAGGTCCAGTTGGGTGAAAGCAGGGGCGGAGCAAGAGCTGCGTCCGCCTGACTGCGTGACGTCACTTGGCCTGCCGGCACGCGGGCAGCGTTGTGGTGGGGCCTGCCAGCGAATCAAGCCTGGAGAAGCCTGACCTGGAACCCTGCCCGTACGCGGACACTTTGCCCGCGTGTCTCGGTGTTTGCCCCCCCTCATCCCCCCCCTCCCTAACTGCTGCCCCCACGGCCGTACCCATCAGAACTGTCGTAGGCGCGCGTCGAAACCAACAAGTCTGGCTCTACATCATGGGACCTCCTTTGCCAGTACCAATATATTATGAGTGTTTTTTTTTGTATTCTGACTACAAGAATTGCTGTTAATGCAGACATGATTCCTTGTAAAAGGTTTCAGTTTGGTGTTTTAACATCTTAACACCTGTGTTGTTGCCAGAAGAAAGGGGGAAAACATTATCAAGTCTGGCTCTTGTTTACCGGCGCCAGTCAACCGCACCCCCCCTGCCCCAATGTATCGTTCGACATTGGGATACGGGAAAGCGAACCGTTAAGCAAAGGCGCGAGTAAATCCATAGCTGTTCAGTGGCTTGCAGAATGCTCATTCCCAACTGCTGCGGTGGCAGAGGTCCTATCACATCCACAGATTAGTGCGGTTGGCTCAATGTACACACTCGGAGACCCCCAGACCCATAGAGACCCATAGATACCCATAGAGATCCATACAGACCCATACAGACCCATGGAGACCCACGGAGACCCACATAGACTCACAGAGTCACAGAGACCCACAGATTAGCTCGGTTGGCTACGTACGGTGGTGCGAAAGAAGTTCAACGAACACACTCGGAGACCCCCAGACCCATGGAGGCCCACGGAGACCCACAGATTAGCGCGGTTGGCTACGTACGGTGCGAAAGAAGTTCAACGTTCATAGTGTGATCTGGACTGCTCCGCAACTCCCCCATCCAGCTGTGAGAACATCGCCCACTGACCCGTGGCAGACGAACAGACGGGGGGAGAGCGCTTCCTTCGCTACTGAGAACCTCCCGCTCCCACCCCCACGTCATCACCAGGTCAGCCGATTGTCTGCCCGGCTTTGAGCTGCGACTCTCCCTACGGAGCAGGAGGAGGATGGCGGGGTAGCTTCACAGGTTCGGGTGTGAACGCTGCGCTGTGTCAAGACGGACCATGCCTTTGGGTGGCGGGGGAGGTGGCGATTTGTCACGCTTTGTGTGGCTGTGGTGCTGTGTAGAGGATGCCACCACCGAAGACAAAACAAAGATTCGCCATGTAGCCTTAACAGACTGTGAAGGCTGGCACTGTGGCACACGAGAGGGGTGGGTGGCCAGCACCGCGTCCGGCCGCCTTTGTCTCCCCAGTGGCGATGTTTATTTCGCACCGGGTACTCGTTTGAGGCCGAGTCGAGCTAGGGGAGGCCCAGGCCCGGTATCGGACAATTGTCCCCAGTGTTGGCCCCGCCGCCCAAGTTGTCTTGCGAGGAACTACCGTTGGGGCTTTTCGGCACCAGCGGCCGTGATGGATGCCGATACCCCAGGGGGCCGCTTCTGTGTCGGTGAACGGAGCGCAAAGATGTCACGGCCCGCGGGCCCCCCACCCACCACTCCCTCCTTAGCACCACGGTGACCCCTGCACCCCCCCTCCCCCCCCCCCCGTCTGGGTTGCGACGATGCGGGAAGGCGAGTCGACCCTGGATGGCGGCGTCGGTTTCGGTTTTCGCGATCGCTTGGCAGGGGGTGCTCTTTTTTTGCTGCCGTTGCGGTAGAAGTTTTTAGTCGCGTGGCGCCCGGGCACTCGTCTGCCCTGTGTTTCACCATGGGTTTTGTTTATACGCGTCGTGGTGGGGGGGGGGGGGGGTGATTGTGTGCGTGAATGCGCGCGGCGGATACTGTCGCACGATGTCGGTGCGGTGATGACCGCCCCTCCTCCTCCCCCCCCCACCCCCCGCGTAGCCGTGAGTGTTGGATATTGGTCGACGTGGAAGTTGTCTAGCAGCAACAAGAAAAGGAAAAAAAAACGACGCGAATAGGAATCGTAGTGAGTGACAAAGCGCTCGGTGGACTCTTGATTGACGGCATTATCGGGCTGTGGAGATGTTAACTCCCTCGCCTGGTATGCAGGAGGTCGTGGGTTCGATCCCGACCCTGACGCCTGCCGTATATATGTGGTGTCTCTTTCTCTCCGCGTGGTCTTGTTGATTTTTTCACCCCCCCCCCCCGCAACCACATTTAGAATCGACGTCACGTGTTAAGGAGATTTTGGCTGCTGCTTTTAATTTCCACGATACACCACTTCGGGTTGAGCTGCTATCATTCACGATGGCCCAGGTCACCTTCTGAAAAAGAGCTGATAAAAAAAATTATAGGGTTTTTCCCATTTTTTTCTGGCAACAAAACTGAAACCTTTTTACAAGGATTCATGTCTGCATTAACCACAATACCTGCAGTCAAAATGCAAACAAAACACATACTGATAATATATGCATTGTCCTTGAAACTGATTGGTCCACACCAAGGGACGGCTTTCAATTGGGTCGAGGCTCAAAAGAAAGTCGTCCCTTGGTGTGGACCAATCAGTTTCAAGGACAATGCATATAAAAAAAACCTTTAAATCGAAAAATGCACATATTATTATAGTAAGTTTTTTGTTTGCATTTTGACTGCAGGTATTGTGGTTAATGTAGACATGAATCCTTGTAAAAAAGGTTTCAGTTTTGTTGCCAGAAAAAAGAGGGAAAACCCTATTATTATATTTTGGTACTGGCAAAGGAGGTCTAATGATGTAGATGCTCACCCCGAGCCCTCATTACTTTGATAGTGCATTGTCTTTGAGCTGTGTGACGCCTTTTGGCGTCATCTGGTCGAGCACCAATTGGGTCGAGGCTCAAAAGAAAGCCGTCCCTTGGTGTGGACCAATCAGTTGCAAGGGCAATGCATATATTATCATAGTATGTTTTTTGTTTGCATTCTGATTGCAGGTATTGTGGTTAATGCAGACATGAATCCTTGTAAAAAGGTTTCAGTTGTTGCCAGAAAAAAGGGGAAAAGCCCTATTATTACATTTTGGTACTGGCAAAGGAGGTCTAATGATGTAAAATTAAAAAAAGTTAATAGTTTAAATCTGTACGATGAAGCTAGGTTTAGTCAAGATTGAACATTACTCATGGAGCCGGGTGGCGTGGAGGCACGCCCAGTGCGTCCCAGCGCTCGATGGGCAAGGGGTTGGCGGATCGCGCGTGCGTGAAGCTGCCCGTTCCTACTGAACCCGCAGCGTGGTCAGGAGGTAGTGGTTCTGCAGAGAGCGCGCTCCTGAACCTGGCCAGTGCAGATCTTTTGTTGCTTTTTCTTCTGCATTGTTCTCCCGATACGGCACGGTTAGTTTCATCCGGGCTACTCGGGATTTCTTCCCCGAATGAAGTCAAAAGCCGCCACCGCTTAGTTTAGCGATAACACGAGACATGCGCTAAAGGAAATTGGGCAAAAACCGTCCCAAATGCAGAACCCACTTGAGAAAAAGTTTCGAGGCTTGGTGTGAGGATTTTCTGTATTGTTTGTGGATAATATTAGTATTATAAGGACGAATGAGGGAGGGGTGAGGATTAAGAAGTTGTCGGGAGTGGTGAGGAGTGAGGAGTGGTGAGGTGGGAGGGAGCTGGGGGGGGGGCGGCGAGGGAGTTGCGAGGGGGGGGAGTGGCGAGGGGTGTGGGGGGGGGGCGAGGGGGGTAGCGGGGGGGGTGGGAGGGAGTTGAGGGACGGTGCTAGGGAGGACCTTAGCCGGGTTACGTTGACGAGTTCCCCACTTTGTGAAACGATGAACCAGCACTCGCGTGCGGTCGACTGAAGCACGGCTAAGCTTAGAGTCCGCTGGACTGTTATACTGTAGTTGTAATCGCGACTTGAATAGTCTTATATATACATGTGCGTGCACGCCAGCGCGTGTGTAGTGTTCACGGTCTGTATTCCATTTCCTGGTAAGTTGGTGTATTTTTGTTTTAACCGGGCAACAACAACAACAAAAACACGGCCGGATGATAATTGTGGTTTTCACGCGGTGTTGAAATTGCTCTCTTTTTTTTTCTACCAAGCGTTTGGATTTTTGGCAAGGACGTCGGGCAAACCGGAGAGTAGCCGGCGGGGCGGTATCGCCAAGTCTTTTAAGGTCCCCACCCCCCCACTTCCTCCTCCTAACCTCGCAACGGTTCTCTCGTTCGCGCGCCTCTGGAATTACC